CACTCACTCACACACACACACTCACTCACTCACACACACACACACGGTTCTGGTTCTTGCCTGTTTGATTTCTCTCAGCAGGTCGGCATCAACACGGTAACGCTCTTCTGAACGAACAGCTCCAAAATGATTCTGCATCCGAATCTGAGACATGAGTTCATTCAGTCGCCCCTGAAACACACACACACACACATTAAACACACACATTCACAGATGGTGGGTGTGTTTCAGCTGATGTTCACACCTTGAACTGTGTCGGTGCGTTGAGGTCTGATTGGATGGTTTCCAGCTGAACTCTCAGGTGTTCCTCATCCAGCTGAATGGCGTAACCGCTCTTCCTCTGAACTTCCTGTTTAATTAACACCTGGAACACACAGGAAAGAACAGACGGGAATAGAGAGTGTGTGTGCTGTACTGAAGGACATGCGGCGCTCGCGAGTGTGTGTATGAGAGAGTGTGAGTGCAGCTCTTTGAAGCCCACCATGGGGACCGGAATCAACCTGAGCAGAAAATCACAGCTGGTGAGCTCAGATCACACGAGCGTCTGACGAGCGATTAATGAAGACGCACTTCTCTGGGTCTGGATTGTCCACTTTGGCCTGTTCCCAGATGATGGGATCCACACCTGCACACAAACACACGTCAGCAGCGCTCCTCAGCGATATCGTGCAAGCGAGTGAACACACGTACCTGCGGGCGGGTTCTGCAGCAGCTGCTTGAGCTGCGCCGGGGTCAGTGCGGTGCGACTGACCGCCATGATCACACCCAGCTGCTGCAGCACAGACTTCACGTTCATCTGCTCCATGTAGCTGTAGAGCGTGGACGCCGGGACTCGCTTCGACGTGCCGTTAGGAGAGCGCTCCACCAGATAAATGATCATCTCCGCCCTGCACAAACACAAATGGATTTCAAGCAGAGTTCTTCACATCCGTGATCACGACTGGAGCCTAACTCTGCAGCACAGATCTGAAGAGTTCAGCCGTTATGATGCAGACAGCAGCAGCTCTCAGGCACTTTCAGTGAGATTCAGATTTATTTCAGGCTCACAGTCTGTAGATTCAGTTTTATGATGATCAAGTTTGTAATAGTTCTCCATTGCTGTGTCTCATTCTGAAGGCTGTGCTCTCCGGAGGTCATGTTTGCCGGCCACATACATCATCGAAGCTCCTCGTTTCAGAAAAGTAATAACGACTGACGAATGCGACCACCGGAGGCACAGCCTTTGAAAACAGACACGGCAAATGAGCCTCTCGCAAACCCTTTTCTTTCATAGTTTATGACCAATAATAAAGACAACATTTGGGAAAGTTTCCCAGGACCGGTGTGAATGAGCCGCTCAAGCAGTATGAATCAGACATTGGTGGGTTTTTTAATACGTGTCCCTCAGTTTGAGAACCATTGCTGTTCAGCACAACCTTAAATTGGCAAATGAGAAAATCACTGTATCTAAAATTAAAGAGTTTGGGCAGAGATGAGTCTCACTGATCGTCGGGTAATGCTCGCACTCCCTCCACGTTGACCGAAAGAGTCGGATTTCCTCCCAGAACCTTGTGCATCGATTCAACCAGCTGCTGCTGCTGAGAGCGAACGTCAGCTTCCTTCTTATTGAGAGCCAGAGCCACTAAACCATCCTCATCCTTCACATCCGGAACACAGCTGTAGCCCACCGCCTGAGAGATGGACAGAGAGAGAGAGAGAGAGATGGACAGAGAGAGAGAGACACAGATGGACAGAGAGAGCAAGAGAAAGAGAGGGACAGAGAGAGAGAGAGAGACACAGATGGACAGAGAGAGCAAGAGAAAGAGAGACAGATGGAGACAGATGGACAGAGAGAGAGAGAGAGAGAGAGACAGATGGAGACAGAGAGAGAGAGATGGATAGCAGGGTTATGAGAGAATCAACAGAACCAAACACTTTTTGCAATCATCAATATATAAAACATATATATTTTCACTCCAAAAGAGTGTGTGTATATATATATATAAAAGTGTATGTATGTGAGTGCGTGCATGTGTATATAAGTGTGTGTGTGAGTGCGTGCATGTGTATATAAGTGTGTGTGAGTGCGTGCATGTGTATATAAGTGTGTGTGAGTGCGTGCATGTGTATTGTGAGCGAGCGAGCGAGCTCATGGTCAGACCTTGAAGCGGCAGAAGTCTCCTGGCTCGTGCATGTGTATATAAGTGTGTGTGAGTGCGTGCATGTGTATATAAGTGTGTGTGAGTGCGTGCATGTGTATATAAGTGTGTGTGAGTGCGTGCATGTGTATATAAGTGTGTGTGAGTGCGTGCATGTGTATTGTGAGCGAGCGAGCGAGCTCATGGTCAGACCTTGAAGCGGCAGAAGGGGTTCTCCTGGCTGAACTCCACCGGCGGTGTGCTGCTGCTGTAGTAACCCTTCCCTACTCCCCAGAAGGCCTGCAGCTGGTTCCATCGGGCCAGAATTGAGTCGCGCTCGTCGTTGAGGACCGATGGAGCAGAGAGAGCGCTGGCTGTGTTAAAGAGCTGACTGGACTGAGACGCCTGCTGGTTAAACATGCCTCCTACAAACACACACACACACCTGGCTCATTCAGTGTTTGTTTCTGAACATGCTGCGTTTTCTATCTTAGTTCGGTTCGTCCAGTCATATATATATATATATATATACACACACTGCAAACACACTTGGATCTGCACTAGAACAACCGGTCTGAGATCGTCTGAATCAGGTGTTTTAGGCCCAACTGAAAATTAACTTTTTATTCTCATAATTCATAATGGTAAATGTGTTACATAAATCCATAAGAAGAAGAAAATAGTGCCTGTTTCAGTGTGATGCGGTCGCTTGCCGGTCTCACCTTGTTGGTTCTGAGCGGGCTGGATCCCACCGAATCCTCCGAAGCCCAGTCCAGTGCTGCCCAGAGCGCCGCCGAAGCCCATCCCCGCCGGTGCGCTGGAGCCCAGACCTGACGAGAAGCCGAAGCCCTTATTCTGAGTGTTTCCAAAGAGACTGGCACCTGCAGAGAGTCAAACACTTCCTGTCAGACGCGCTCACACAAACACAGCTTAGCTCAGACCGGATCAAAGCTCTACCTGTGTTTGACGGCGTGGAGAAATTGAAGTTGGTGCCGGCGCCGGCGGAGGAGGTGGAGCCGAACCCCCCGAACGCACCTGCAGCACACACACACACGAGAGGAAGACAGGACAGACGTGGACACACACCAGAGATGAACATGAGCTGATGGACAGAGCGGGATTCACACGACCGGAGCGTCACGGACTAAACACACGAATGAGCGCGCGATGCGAGCTGATCATGAGTGACGTGACCTCCGACCTCTCAGACTACCTGCTCCGAGACTACTGCCAAAACTGAACACAGGGGCCGCGGGGCCCAGACCAAACCCCCCAAAACTAACGGGCGCGACGGGGCCACTGCTCTGGGCCAGAGAGCCGAATCCTGACGCGCAGGAGACACACACACACACTCACACACACACACACAAACGGGCAAGAGTTAGAAACACCTGCAGTGTGTTAGAGACACTGGAGACTGCACTCACACTCACTCTCTCTCTCGCACACACACACACACTCTCTCTCTCTCTCTCTCACACACACACACACACTCGCGCTCACAGATCCGAAGCCCGTGCCAGAAAGGCCTGTAACCATGACAACAGTCTCTCTATAAAGCTGAGGATCTGAGGGAATGTCGGGAGCGCGCATGTGACGGTAATGATGTCTTAATTAACATGAATAATGAGAGTTTGGCTGGCGCGCTGTTTGTTGTTGAAGCGCCGAAACCAAACGAGGTGGAGAAGCAGCCTGGAGTGCCTTCATCATCATCATCATCATCATCAAACACACACACGACTGATGAGTGAACAAACAAACACACAAGCGTCAGCCTCGCGCAGCTGCTCCGATCACTCGACGCGAATCCGGTTTCGAGTGATTTGTTATGTTCCTGAATATATTTTACAGCTTTTCATATTAAACTACTAATGTTTATCGGGATTGAGTAACAGAGTTTAATTCAACTCACTCGCGTTGCTGGACGCGCCGCCGAAGTTGAACGCCATGTTTCCGGTCCCGCCGCGATACAGTCCGACCGGAAACAGTTACTACGAACAAGTGGTTCCTACGTGCAGCTCATGTCACACACTCCTCCTATACATGAAATAAATCACTATGATGACTGAGAAATAAAGCCTCGCCAAGCCTTTACTTTACTTTACTACCAAACTAATGCAGGAAGAGCTCAATAAAACCTCTGTGAACTGATGTCAATGTGTTTGCAGCCATGTTTGCTCTAGTAAAGAAAACTAACCGCACCATATTTAACTCATCACCATTTAAACATGTCAGAGTTTTAATACTTGAAACGGTCGTCATTGATAATCCTGTGTATTTTCTACAAACCTTAACAAGCAAATCAAAATCAACACGTCTTTGAAAATAATATCGACAATTATTTAAAGGGGTCACATGCTTTTTTAAAGATCCTTATTTTGTGTATTTGGTGTAACAGAATATGTTGACATGCTTTAATGTTCAAAAAACACATTATTTTTCAAATACTGTACATTATTGTAGGTCCTCTATGCCCCGCCTCTCTCAAACACTTAGTTTTCTACAAAGTCCCTCCTTCCGACAAGCGCAGCCTGCTCTGATTGGCCAGCTGACCCAATGCATTGTGATTGGCCAAACACCGCAAGCACTCATCGGAAATGTAACACCCCTTACCATAATCGCGAGCTTCATCTTTCAAAATAAATGTAAAGACAGAGCCAGACAGTGTGACAGACACAGTGATGAAGCTGGTATGTGTTTGCAGTACACAAGCCACGGTTAAGACAGCTGACGTGCTATGATTTCTGACACCCAGCTCACTCTCCTGTGATGTGACCCTGTTCCACACACACACACACACACACGACGCGTTACTCTGCGCTGCGCAAAACTCCGCATTTGAACAGTCAATAGCAAATACTTAAACTAGTAACAAAACATACTTACAGTCGCTGATTCAGAAGCGCCAGATTGTCATAGCAAAGTCGGAATTGACCCCTTTTTTTTATTATTAGAAATAGCCTTTGTGCACAGCCAGCCTTGTACTCTTCAGAATCAGAATGAGAATCAGAAAGAGCTTTATTGCCAAGTATGTTTGCACATACAAGGAATTTGTTATAGTGTCACAAGCTTCCAGTACACGGAGACAACAACAACACACAGATAATAACATTAACATTAATTTGTGCACAGCCTACATTACAATCTGTCCTGGTTGAAGTGTAGCCTAAATGTAATTGGTCAAATCGGTGTTGTTTTGAGCAAATAAATTGCATCCGCAATGAAAAACAAGCGTTCTAGCGTGAAAATGCTTGGGAACTAATGTGATCAGAACCAAAGTTTACAGGACTGCGTTCTCTGGAATCCTCTCAAGCAGTGGACTTCTACGTTCCGATTGGTTGCTGCCAGATGCCGCCGAACCGCGTCATAGCTCATTACCATAAAGTTGACCTGATTTCAACTCTCCTGGACGCCCTCAACGTCCAAGTCGCTATAGTGATGTAGATATGTGGGGCGTGTTAGAACGAAGCGTTTTAGGTAGGTGTGGCTGACTCTTAACTTTTATAAAGAATATCTCTTTGGATTTGAGACTTTAGTCTTTGCAACTTTACAGATCTTCTTTATGCACCAAGAGCTTGTAACACTCCAAAGAGAAAGGAACAATTGAAATCGCATCATATGACCCCTTTAATAAAAAGTTTATTAAGAGTGCACTGCATTACAAAAGAAGCAGAAACACAACAGCCGAGCTGCTCCTCGACCTGAACAACAACAGAAACATCTGGGATCAGATCTCATTATAATATCGATGCAGACCTGTGGTGACAGGGACGTTTTATGAGTGAACACCACAGGTTATGGCAGGCCTTTGCGCTTCATCTGCGTTCTCTTCTTCATCTGCGTGAGTCTGAACTGCTTCTGTGTGTCTGTGGGCTCGGCTGGAGTCCAGAACACCTCCTGCTGCTCTCTGCGCTTCTCCTTCTGTCTGATCATCCGCCGGCGCTGAACAAACAAACAAACATCATCAAGTGAAGGAGAGCCTGAGCTCTTCAGGAGACAGCGAGGCGTGGAGAAGATCTGCCAGAACACCACGGTTAATCACGCAACACAAACATGTTCAGTAGCTTGAGCAGTGAGCGGAAACAGAAGCTAAACCTGCAGAAAGAATCACATCAGTATCGTTGTTATTCTGATTCTCAGCACCAGTGATCTTTAATAATGGAGCGTGAGCAATGAAAGAGAATCAAACACAGCGAGCTGAGAATGCATTACTACATCTGTGACCCTGGAGCACAAAACCAGTCTTAAGAGTCAATTTTGTAAAATAGAGATGTATGCATCATCTGAAAGCTGAATAAATGAGCTTTCCATTGATGTATGGTTTGTTAGGATAGAACAATATTTGAAAATCTGGAATCTGAGGGTGCAAAAAAATCTAAATATTGAGAAAATCATCTTTAAAGTTGTTCAAATGAAGTTCTTAGCAATGCATATTACTAATCAAAAATGAAGTTTTAATATATTGATAGTAGGAAATTTACAAAATATCTTCATGGAACACGATCTTACTTAATATCCTAATGATTTTTGGCATAAAAGAAAAATCAATAATTTTAGCGATGCATATTACTAATCAAAAATTAAGTTTTGATATATTTACAGTAGGGAATGTACAAACTATCTTCATGGAACATGATCTTTACTTAATATCCTAATGACTTTTGGCATAAAAGAAAAATGGATAATTTTGACCCATACAATGTATTGTTGGCTATTGCTACAAATATACCCCAGCGACTTAACACTGCTTTTGTGCTGCAGGGTCACATATTTAAGCTGTTATGTGCACATTATTCAGTCGTTCTGCAATATTAATATAGATTATTAGCTGAGATGAAAGCAGCAAAAACTGAAAGAGGATTTAATGTTGAGATGAACCTGAGTGAAGAGCTCCTTCAGCAGCGCGTAATGCGGCTCCTTGTCAAATTTCTACGAAACGACAGACAAACATCATCTTCATCATCTTCATCATCAGATCCGCAAGCGTGCTCCAGTCACCGGAAGGACAGCAGCGGTCTGCAGCCTTTCAGACAGTTTCCGGTCATCTTCAGCTCAGCCAGAGTGTGAACTACAAACACAAAATTAACTTCCAGACTCATAATCGTTCAACTGAAACAAGAGTTTAGTGTACGATGAAAACATTCGGTCATTTCAGAACTCAAAACTTTCTCCTCAGTCCAAACAGAGTCTATAAACGGCAAAAACAGCCAGCGCAGAACTCATTACTGTGACATTATAGCCATGAGCTCATTAACATAATCATGCAGCAAGCTGAGCCAATCACAACAGAGCTCATTAACATACACAAATCCTAAACGTTCAGCTGTTTAAAGGGTCATGAAACCCCCGTTTCAGCACTGGTTGGTTAGTCACACACAACACACACACACAGCTTCAGTTTAATTTCGCTCCCATCCAGTTAAAAACACAAATAAATGCACAGCCATTTGCACTCTGCATGGAAAACATATATATGAACGCGCTGTTGCACCTCTGAGAACTTTTAAAGCTTATTCTGCGGCGTTTATATAAGCCTTTTGACGGTTGTGTCACAGAGCTGTAAAAACGGTCATGCTCACCAAGTGAATGAATCACGTTTGTGCTGCACTCTTATTACAAAGCAAAAACAAACACTCTTCTTCGATCCATGAACGTTTCTCTCAGTTAATGTGCTCGATGTCATCTCACAGACTGAAGCGTCTGTCACAGCAAATCAACACATGCTGCTGTGAATAATTAAGCCCTCAGAAAAAGTAGTCTGGGGTTTCATGACCCTTTAATGAAGAGAGAGAGGAACGAAGAACGACTGCGTTTGATTCACGTAACATGAGCAGACGAGTCTTATCATCTAATATTATAAACGTGACTAACACACAGACACACTACACACACACACTCTCACAGACACACTCACTCACACTCAGACACACTCACACTCAGTAGACACACACACACATTCACAGACACACTCACACAGAGTAGACACACACACACTCTCACACAAACACACACTCACTCACAGACACACTCTCACACACACACACACACTCACTCACTCACACAGACACACTCACACTCACACTCTCACACACACACACAGACACACTCATTCACTCACACAGACACACTCATTCACTCACACAGACACACTCATTCACTCACACAGACACACTCATTCACTCACACAGACACACTCATTCACTCACACAGACACACTCATTCACTCACACAGACACACTCATTCACTCACACAGACACACTCATTCACTCACACAGACACACTCATTCACTCACACAGACACACTCATTCACTCACACAGACACACTCATTCACTCACACAGACACATTCTCACACACACACACACGCACTCTCTCACACAAGCACACACTCACTCTCTCACACACACACTCTCTCACACACACACTCTCTCTCTCTCTCTCTCACACAAACACACACAGAGACACACACACTCTCTCACACTCACACACACACACACACACACACACACACACACACGTGATCTTCATGCAGATGTGTGAGCTTCTATATTGGACATGGTTCGCATGTAGTCAGTATATCATCACAGGTTGTGTATATTCTGTGCGGGGTTTACCGGGCTGACGGGCGGCGGGAAGCTGATGATGTTCGTCTCAGAGTTTCCTCTCGCTTCTTTATTCTCCGGCGTAAATGTCACTGTCTTCGTTTTTCTCCCGGTCTGTGGCGTTTTGTTCCCGTTTAATTTCGCTCGTTTCGTCTTGATTTGTGCTGGTCGCTCCGTTGCATGTTTCCCTCCGCGCGCCGCCATCTTTCTCTCACACGTCACCGGAAGCGGAAACGGTCTCATCAAACAAGCAAGTGATACACCGAAGGGATATGAAACAATGACCTCACAGTTTAATAAAGATGCAGTAGAAGAAATGAACGAGGATGATGACGAAGACGAAGAAGAAACGAGGGAGAGAGAGGAAGATGATGGCGATGATGAAGGGTTTTCAGTGCTGTCGGAGCTACCCGTAGAGAAGAGCGAGAGACGCCCGACCTGCCGCCGATGCTGGCCCCATGAGTTGGTGTGTATTCAGGTTTAAGTCGCCACCAATATAGAAAAACGTACACACACACACACACAGGTTTGTTTTTCTGAAAAGTGGGGACTCTCCATAGGCGTAATGGTTTTTCTACTGTACAGACCGTATATTCTATTGGCCTACACCAACCCTACCCCTAAACCTACCCCTCACAGGAAACTTTGTGCTATTTCAGATTTTCAATACACTCCATTCTGTGTGATTTATAAGCGTTTTGAAAAGTGGGGACATGGGGTAATGTCCTGAAAATTCACCTTCTCCTTGTAATACCTATGTCATACCCTTGTCATTATACAAATTTACACACACACACGCTCGCACTCACACACACGCACTCACACACACAAATCAAAAGCGAGAAACTGTAATAACAGCAGCATAAACAGATTTGACTAGTTTCACTGCGGTGTGTGTTTGTGTTTGTGTTTGCATTGAACTGAAGTGAGTTTAATCATTTAAATGCGAGATTCACTGTTGAAATTGCAATGATTCACATTGATCACATCCAGAATCAGATCTTCTCCGTGTGTCCGATGCCTCGCTGAACCGTGTGTTTTGTGTCTCGGCAGTCGTCCGCTGAAGGTGTGTCTGTGTCCGTATCTCCCGCCGTGTCCTCTAGACGTCTCCACGTGTCTCTACATCGTGCAGCATCCGGCTGAGGTTTGTGTCCGATCATCTCAAAGCTGCGTGCTGCGTTCCTGCCGCCGTCAGATGACTGATTTCTTCTTTCTGCAGGAGAGTCGGGTTCTGCGCACGGTTCCGCTCCTGGCAGCGTGTCTCCCGCCGGGAAAGTGCCGTGTTTTCATCGGGAGGCGTTTCTCTGAAGAGAGGTGAGTGGCGTGAGCGCGTGGTGAAGCGTCTGCGTGTGTTGCCATGGCCTTCACGTGTGTGTGTGTGTGTGTGTGTGTGTGTGTGTGTCAGGTAGTGTGAGTGTGAGTGCGTGTGCGTGCATGTGTGTGTGTGTGTGTGCGTGTGTGTGTGTGGTGTGTGTGTGTGTGTGTGTGTGTGTGTGTGTGTGTGTGTGTGTGTCAGGTATCCGGAGCTGGCGGCTGTGTGTAAAGACGCTCACACGCTGCTGCTGTATCCCGGAGCCGCTGCAGAGAATCTGGAGGATCTGAGCACTGATTTCACCTCGACGGCCCACAGCGTGATCCTGATCGACGGCACCTGGAGTCAGGCTAAAGACATGTTCCTGAGGAACGCACTGCTGCGGCTGCCCAGACAGGTGCGTGCACTGAAGCAGCGCTGAGATCTGTCATACAGTAATATTTAGGCAGTGTTGTGCTGATGGTTTTCCGCAGGTGCAGCTCCGCAGCGCCCCCTCCAGTCAGTACGTGATCCGCACGCAGCCCACCAACATGTGTGTGTCGACGCTGGAGTGTGCAGCCGCTGCGCTCTCCATCATGGAGAAGAACCACAGCATTCAGGAGGTCGGTGTTCAGAACAGGGTTATGAGTCTGTGTGATGGATCTGATGCTGATGAGCCCTTGGTGTTTCTCGCAGGTTCTTCTCAAACCTCTTCAGGCTCTGTGCTCCTTCCAGCTGCAACACGGCGCTCAGATCCACCACAGCAAAGAGCATCTCATCAAAAACGGACAGTACAACAAGATCATGCCCAAAAACAAGCGCAAGATTCGCCGGATGCAGAAACTCCTCACCAACCAGAATATATGAGACGACAGCATCTTTTTCAGATTCTTCTGCAGCACTGAGATTCAGTCTTTTGTAGTTTTACAAATTCAGAGCAATATTGACATGAGCCTTCCATGTGGATGAAGCTTCATCTGTTCGTTCTATTGTAATGTGTTTATTTGAATGACTGATTTTATTCTTGTTTGCTGAATTAAAGCGATTGATGTGTGACTGTTTTGCGCCCTCTGGTGTCTGAATACTGCAACGTCGCTGAGAAACTAACCGAATAACATCAGAGAGTTAAATAGCCAATCAGCTCGCGACTCTGAGCGCCTCTAGCTGCGCTTGACCAATCAAATGAGGGCAAATACATTTAAGGCGGAATCGACGCTTCCGATTGGCTTTCCAGCGTAATGACATCGCTCTTAAAAGAGAAATCAACACGTGATGAAACACTAGAATCACCTTCATCGACACGGTACGACATGATCATATTTACTATTGCTTGTGTTCTCAGTTTGATCAGCCGTTTGTGATTTTAGATGCTTTCTGATCATTTGTAAATCGCTTAAGAATAATTCTTGAGTGCATTTAAAGTGATTTTATATAGTTTGCACTCAGCTAGACGGTTATTGCATTAATAATCATTTATGCTATAATGTACGTGTTCATAAATGACGAAGTTTATTATGTTAATAACATGGTAATTCCAGTTCTCACGGCTGTGCTTCAGATGTTTCCACGCGTCAGTTCCGCGGAGCTGCAGCAGACTCTCGGGTCGCTTCACAGTCTGAATGAATCGCAGTGGAGCATCGCGAAGAAATCAGTCAGTTCGGTTTAAATGAGTCGACTCAGTCCCGTTTAGACGGAATCGTGTCTAACAGCTGTAATCTCGTCGGTTCTTCTGCTCTGGCTCTTTCAGAAGGGTGTGACCGTCTGGAGGAGACCTTCGCAGGAGTTCAGCGGCTTTCTGTGAGTTTAAACCCGCTCTAAACCAGGCTAGTTAGTAATGCACAAACTACTTGAACTAGTCTTTAAAGTTAGTTATCTAATTTTCTCTTAAAGGTTGGTCATCACTTTTTAAATTATAGTAGGTTGGTCTAATTTGAATGTGAGAAGTGAGACTAATTACCACTTGCTGACTGCTAGTTAGTCAAACTAGTTCTTAAAGGCAGTCTTCTCATTGTGAGTGAGTTTAAGCGCCTGCTCCTGCAGATATAAAGCTGAAGGAAGCGTAGCAGAGAATCCTCAGCGGATCATGGACCACATCCGGCCCGGGGCCTGCAGACTGCACTGGGACAGCATGATCACTTCTCTGGAGATCCTGCAGACGCTAGACCAGGTGAACATCGTTAATGTGAATGCTCAGTGATCTACAATCTCTGATTAGACCGAACTGAAGTGTGTTTAGGGTTAAGAGTATAAAGTCCTCTCCGTCTGTGACACCAGTGTTGATGTGCACATGATAATAACTGCTGTGTGTTGTTCAGGGCTGTTGTGTTGTGAGGTACACCACCGCAGGGCAGCTGTGGAACATCATCTCTCCGAGAGAGTTTGTGGATTTCTCCTGCACCAGCGAGTATCAGCGTGGCCTGCTGTCCTGCGGTCAGTCGCTCTGAAAACAGTCGCTCTTTCTGTGCTAGATCAGCTGTTTAGCTGGAGTGAAGCCACTGGAGGACAGACCACGACACCTCTGGTTATCATCTGCTGCTGTGAGCTGGCGGATCTGGGGCCGGATCATTTCAGAAAGAGAATCTTAAGAACCGGTCACACTTCATATTTCCTTCCATTGACTTCAGCTCGTAAGCAGCGAATGCACTGCGTTCCAAAGATCACGTTTGCTGAACTCTGACCTGTGACATGATATCGCATGAATCCGTGTGACCTCGCAGCTGAATTAATGATTGGAGCGTCGCAGTAAAGTCAAGTAGATCACATACACAGCTGCGTAGATTTACTTACAAACTGTAGTCCGTTACTGATTACTGGACGAAAGTTGTAGTCCGTAACATAATCATCACATCACACATTTTAGGTAATATAATTATACTACTTATTGATTACTTTTGACCATTTCTCACATTGATTTAAATAATATAATCTTGTACCATATTGATATTAAAAATACAAAGAGTAAGAAAAAATATTCGGTTCGTTGTAATTAACGTTAAATAATATAATCTTGTACCATATTGATATAAAAATACAAAGAGTAAGAAAAAATATTCGGATCGTTGTAATTAACAAAGTGCATTACATTATAAAGGTTTCCCAAACGGGTTCATAAAGGAACTGCAGGGGGTTCGTGAGTTTAATGAAAAGCTAATAATTAATTAAATGATAAAAAATATAAAAGTAAAATAAATCATTTTAAAATAACATAAATCAAAATATAAACATTTTATTTCTTTACCTGCATGTCATGTGACCGTGAACACGTGATTCTGAATAATTACAATATTTATATTAAATCTCAGGTACTTCAAGTAAATATATTAGCTGAAAGCAGTTTGGGAATCCCTGCATCACATGGAAGAAAGAAATAACATGAATGTGTGCGTTAGAAAGACAAAACTGTTCCAATAACTCACGGAGTGATAACTCAAATAAAGAGTGTGTTCATCAGTAGTTGATGCGGTGTTGAAATATCGAGAACACACTTCTTAAAGCTGAAAGTATTTCTGTGAATCCAGAGCTCAGATGCTGTATACTCACCGGACTCATGATCTCTGTGTGAAACTGAAGACTTTCTGAATGTATATAAGCCTAGGATAACTTAGGAACATTTAAAAGAGGAATTAGAGTGAATCAATAAATTATGAACAATTTATTGCTATTGTGTGATTAATATGTAATCATGTAATCAATAAAAAGTAACTAGTCTGATTACAAGTACTTAATTTTTGGAATCTGATGATGTAATCCAGACGAGTTACTCCGCAGCTCTGATAACATGTTTTTACATGTCTGGTGCATTGTGTGTAGACGTCGGATTAGGACGGTCGGCGTGTTGCGTGTGCGGTCTGTAACGTGTTGCGTGTGCTGGTGTTGTTCAGGTGTGAGCGTGGAGCATGACGAGCAGAGAGCAGGCCTGGTTCGAGGATTCAATCATCCGTGTGGCTGGTTCTGTGTGCCGGCGCAGGACTCGGATCTCAGCGTGCTGACCGGATACATCCAGACGGAGCTGAGGGGCATGCTGCCGCAGCCGGCGGTGGACACAGCTATGGCCAGCGGTCTGCTCCACTTCTACAGTGACCTGAGACGAGCGCTGAACACTTAGTGTTTCATCTGATGAACTCTAACGAGCCCGCTCTGGTGCTCCTCACATACAGGGTTTTGTAAATAATCGTCACCACGGCACGTTCATTTATTATTGCACGTTTTGTTTTGTTTGTTTGCTTTTGGTTTAATGTGATTAACCAGTGTAATTGTTTTTCATAAAATTGTAAACGTTGATATAGTTTTTTTTTAATCTTAAATTTCTCTTATTCTTTATCATTATTTATCTCTCTTTGTAACAGTTGGACAGATTCATTTGTGTGTTTATTGTCCTCATATGCAAGAAATACTCATAAGTTACAGCATAAAGTAGGTGGGTTTTATTCTTATTAAATTAAGACACAGTAGGAACAGGGTCTGTGCTTTAATTGCTGAAACTATTTGTCATAAATGTGAGCCTGCAGCACAAAAGCAGTGTTAAGTCGCTGGGGTATATTTGTAGCAATAGCCAACAATACATTGTATGGGTCAAAATTATACATTTTTCTTTTATGCCAAAAATCATTAGGATATTAAGTAAAGATCATGTTCCATTAAGATATTTAGTAAATTTCCTACCGTAAATATATCAAAACTTAATTTTTGATTAGTAATATGCATTGCTAAGAACTTCATCTGAACAACTTTAAAGATGATTTTCTCAATATTTAGATTTTTTTGCACCCTCAGATTCCAGATTTTCAAATAGTTGTATCTCGGCCAAATATTGTCC